TGATGAATGCTCACCATTCTAAAAATTTTAATATTTTATAATAATATATTATGACAACTTCATATGTTACATTTGATTTTATAAAAACTCTTTTCCTAATTTTCCCCCTAATTTCAAAAAATATTTTTGTATGTTTCAGCATAACTTTATCAATTTGCAAGATTTTTTGAGATTTGAAAAATGCACTGAGGTCACAAATGTTTGATTTAATTCATCACATCATTTTTAATAAATTGATTAGCTGTGTGTGCATGGATGTTTTACGAATTCACATTTTCAAGAAATTGAAATAGGTGGAGAACTTCATTAATTAATGTTGAAAAAATGAAATGATTTTTTAAAGATTTTTTTACAATATAAAAGAAACATTTTGCGTTATTTCTTACATCTTTGTCAATTTTGAGCCTTTTTACATTTGACATTGAGAAAGTAAAATTATTTTTTGCTATTTTCGTATGGTTTTGAAAAATGTTTCTATGTAATTCATTGTCATTTAGTCAATATTCAACCTTTTTCCAAATTGGAAAAATCACTTTGTGAAAAACATCATGGCGCTTTATGCACAGTTTTTTATATTAATTTTGGTTGAAAATTGTTAGAAAAACAGGAAATAGAATTTTCACGAAATTCCGTTTTTTTCAGTTTATTTCACTTTAACTTTTTTAATTACAACTCAATATCAAAAAATTTTGCCGAGTTTATGCACACAGATGTTTTACAAATGAAAATATTTTTGTCATTGACATATTTAAATCCTTCAAGTAGATACAATTTAAAATATAAAATATTCTTTTCTCAATTTTCGTACGATTTTCAAAAATGTTTTTGCGTTTTTGTAAATATCTCAGTCAATTTTTGACATTTTTATGCATTTAAAAAAAGGAAATACGCGAAACTTCATTGTGGATCCTCACTGTAAAAAGGTTTGAGTTTGGTGAGACATGCATGTTGTGGTGAATTTTTAAATTGCAAAATTCGGGAAACGAAAAATGTCCGAGTTTTGAGTTTAACTCATCATAAAATTTTCAAGATTGACACAATTTCAATTTTAAAATTTGTATTGCATGGAGAATGAAATTCTACAAATTTTGGAATTATTTTTTCTAAATCTGTCAAAAATTGACTAAGTTACAGATTAAAATTGGTAAGGGATTCGAAAAAAAAAATATTTCCCCGGTTGGGATTGAACCGGGGCCCTGCTGGACTGCGAGCCAGGCTTCCCTCCACCTTACTGCCTCTGCTACGGCGCACAACTCCGTTGTGCGGTTTGAGGGTGCCCGTTTTGTCCGGGAATCGCCCTTTCCTGGATTTCTGCCTGCTGTTCCTTTGGGCGGGGCTTAATGGGAGTGAGTCAAGGGGGTAGCGCGGAGGGAACTGCGTACGCACACACGTCAAGTAGTAACTTTATTATACTGGACAAGCTGGGGGTGCCCAGCCACACCTGGGCAATTGTTGGTATCACTTTTCCCAAGATTTTGAAATTTTGTAATGAGGATAGCAGGTCTGGTTGGAATACTCTTCATGATGAGTGCAATAAATGATGTTTGAGTGCCACTGGTATTGACTGGCCACACCTGGGCATCATGTTTAGAATTTTACCAAGATTTTTTAAATTTCCCATAATTACAGCAGATCTGCATCTGTGTCACTAAACACTGCAAATTAGAAAAAACTTACTTTTGTGCCAACGCCTAAGCTGGGGAAAAGTCTGATATTTTCTTCTAATCCTGCAGAAAATTTTGAAGGAAAGATGAAAAAATCAATCACTGGGTGGCATTCTTACTGCATATCTGTATTTCATTTTGTTGAATAAGAAGTTTGCAAAAAGTTTGAAACCATTCTCCAGTAATATCATTGCTTCTAGCATTTTATTCAGGAAATACATGCGCTTGGGGATTATTTAATAATAATGATGAGATCAGGTTACATTTTGAAGGATCACCAGTGATCTAATATTTGTACTAAGTGCTCAACTGGAGCATAAGCATGATGGGTATTTTGTTATTTTTCAAACACTTTAGGCATTTTTCAGGTTCTCCATTTCTGTTTCAGATTATTTTTTGTGGGTTAAAAGTAATTATGTGCATGAAAATGAGCAGAGGATTTCCATCTGACTTAATGCATGAAACATGATGTGAGGAAAAAACATCATATGGAAACTAAAGCAACAAAAACTGTAGAAACCTGGTGAAAAATTAAAATATGTCAACTAAATTCTATGATTGTTTCAAAAATTCAATGTTTGTAATTTTGCAGGGTTCAATGGGCCCTGAAGAAAATATTTCATGATTTCTGAATGAAAAAAATAAAAAAACTCCATGTGAAATTTTTGAAAATTTCCCCATTTATTTGAATTCAAATCATTTTTGAAAATTGTTCCAATACCTGAAATTCCATTATTTTCTCAGGCTCTATATACACCCTACCTTTAGATCCTTTAATATTTTTGTTCATTGAAAAGTGTTCAGAACTAATGAATTAAAAAAATTTAAAATGGCAAGTGAAAATTTTGAAAACTTCAAAAAACAACTTCAAAAATTTCTTTACCATATGAATTTCCGCTGCGGTTTTGCAAATTTCAATATTTCTGAATAATTATCATGAAAATTCCATAGAAAAATGTTTTTGCGATTTTTGTATGTTTCTCAAAAATCTTTTTGTGTTTTCTGCTGAATTTTTGTCAGTTTTCAACCTTTTTGAATATTTAAACAAAGGAAATTTTGCAAACATCAGCGCGCATCCAACATTGAAAGAAATTTTGAGTTTTGTGAAATATTGATTTTTTGACACATTTTCAAAGTCAAAAAGTCAGGAAACGAAAAATTTCTGAGTTTTATGTTTAACTCATGACAAATTTTTGTGTAATGGACCAATTTCAGTTTTGAGATTTTTCTTGGATGCACATTCAATTTCTACAAATTTTGGAATTTTTTTTGTTGAAATAAGTTGAAAATTGAAAGAGTAATGAATAAGAAGACTTAACGATTGTGAAAAAAAGATTCCCCCGGGTGGGATTGAACCGGGGTCTTGCACGTTGGTGTGCTGGGCTTCACTCCACCTTACCACCCATGCTACGGCGCACAGCTATGCTGTGCGGTTTGAGGATGCCCGTTTCCTACGGGAAATGCAGGTTCTTGTGATTCCCGCCTGCTGTTCCTTTGGGCGGGGCTTATCGGGAGGGAGACACAGGGATAAGGAGGAAGGGATGGAGTGATCAACGGAGTGACAGACGGTCGCAAGCAACTTTATTATAGGGGATTACTGTAATATCAGTCATAATTGCATTTGAGGGGAAACTTCGTCATCATGCCTGACATTTTCGTAATGAATGAATCTCATGAAAATTTGCATTCCCACTCCCCCACGCCTCGAACTTGGGATCAATCAGGATAAACTTCCGCGAATAAAATACTGTACTTACTTACTTCGGCAGGCTTCATAATGCGTAAATCACTCCACACAGTTAGAGATTAATGAGTCACTTCACTTCACTTTCCACTACGACCAGGAGAATCAAGGATTGGGTTCACTAGCAGCACTAGACAACGACAACCGCTCACACAGGATTCCTGTCACTTCACCGTTCAATCCACCTCACTCCGCAATCTCCGCCAACATCCAGTCCACGAGAACTCAGAATAATATTCCGATTGAGTACAGAAGAAACGCAAGATATATCATGTTTCCAAACGCTCACGACAGCGACAGAACGTGGGGTCACTCGTTGAAACCAAATCCTGGAGAAGGCCAGGTTGAGGATGGTTCAAACGATGAAACAAAAACAACTGGACGTTGGACAGGTGAGAGTCAGGACGAGCGTTCGACAAGGTACGTTGGTCCCTTAGAACAGCCGTCAGCCAACACCAGGATGAAGCAACAACAACAAACGTAAGAATGTTTCCTTTCCTCGAATGAAAGAAAAGTTTGCTGGAAAATTGATCAATAGAACTTCAAAATACTGTACACCAAAAACTTGCACGAATTTTCAAATTTAACTATCGTCTCGGACTCAGCTCAGATTTGAAACGATAATTCGCAAGAACACAAGGACTCGCAGAAAAATACTCTTTCAAGCAACATGAAAACCCTATAAAACACAACTAGTGTGAAAGAAAAAAGTACCAGATTCTTTCCACATTTGCAATTTATATATTCAATATACTGTATATTCAATTTTCTGAATACAGCTAAGATAACGCCAAACCTATCCTCCGCGTTCAGCAGATTCTCAATGGGTTGATTAGGCACAAATCATTCAAATCAGCGCATGACGAATTCGTGAATTAAATAAAAAAAGCGTCTTCAATTGGCATGAGCGAGTTAAAATACTGTACTGCACTATACATTCAATTTATTCAGAGTTGTGGAAATCTTGATTGAACCTTGTGAACGCTGAAAAGCGGGAAATAAAGTGTTCTGTTCATTCATTCAGAGTTCGCGCAGCCGAAGTGAAAAATGTTTACAGACCACCCGGTCGTCCGATGCCGAAAGGTTCGGCGAGGAAGCACAGTTCAAGTTCCGGACAAGGTATTCAAAAACACAAAAATAGATTCCAGAAGGCAAAAGAAAAACTTGAGCATTTGGCCGCCAAGAAGAAGCGCATCAAATTTATGTACAAAAAGAAGGTACTGTACACAAATTTCCGACCTACATCGTGCTGAGAAATCCTTTTTTTTTCACAGATAAAGAGCATGGACAGAGCTTCCAAGAATAAAAAATCCAAAATTAAAGCTATGAAGAAAAAAAAGTTAGAAGCCGTCGATAAAAAGATGAAGAGGACCTCGAAGGCGAAAAAAAACGCTTTCAAGAAGCTCGTTAAAAGCTACATGAGGCAAAAGTTGAAAAACTTCAAGAAAAAGTTTTCGAAAGACAAGGGAAACGGAAAGGAAAAGAGAAGCAGTGGTGAATTGGCGAGAATGGAGAGTTACCAAAGCTGTAAAAAAAAAATCTACGGTGAACCGCACCCTTGAAAAGAGCTTTGATTGAAGTTACTCGACTTCATTCGGTTGCACAGGCTTTTTTAATGTCTATTTCAATTTTCGAATGCTGAATTAGAAGACATTTGAATTCATATTTCAGTGAGATTTTTAATGTCCAGCAGGTTACATTTCACCACATCTTCCATCACATACGCTATCTGACGATAAAATACCACAATATCCTCTCTTTATCGAAACTCTTCCGGAGAGTTGTATTTGCTTTTGAAAAAAATTCAATTGAATCAGGTCACTTTTTCCACCTTCAACGACCAAAACAAATTAGCGAACTGACCTTCGCAAACATTGCCTATTCAAAAGATGAAACTTCCAAAACTTCATTTGTCTCCACAAAGCCTTCGGGTTTGTCTTTCTTGATCCAGATACTGTCGATCACTTTCCCATCCTGTAAATAAAATAGAAAATCATAAAAATTACATATTCAGATGGTGAAAAAGGACAAGTAGCGATACATCTGAGTATTTACCAGTTCTTGTCAGAAATTCATTACTAATCTTTACCTGGTCATCAGATATTTGTTCCCACAAAAGATGCGTTTTATTGACCGGGGAAAGTCGGGCATATCCATAATCTGAATTCCGGAAAGCTGACCACGGCTCGGGATTTTCGAATAAATCCGTCCTCTCTCGACATCCCTACGTGCAAAGAACTTTAATCAGGAGAAAGCATGTGTTGCATTTCCAATGAAAACAAAAACATTTACGACACGAACAGCACCAATGAACGAACGTTCGGACATCGACATACTGGAACAACTCTTCAGAACGATGCGTTTATTTTGAAATTGATTCATTTTATAGCATTGAATTAAATTTTGGAACGTCACCAATATTTGGACGAAGGCGTGATTTGCGTGTTCATCCCAATTTTTATTTCAGTGATTCAGGAATATTCAGAATATATTTTTCTTCGGTCAGATTTTGCCAACGTTAATGGCGGAAGAAAAAAATACCACCAGCGCTTCATCCCTAAATCAATAAAATCATTTATGTCGAAGTCCATGAACGTTTAAGACTTCCTACGAAGTACAGTATCAGAGTAAGTGAAAGCAACCACACTCGTAGCACAAAAAAGGACCCAAACTTTCTCAAAGATAATCCAAAATTACGATTAGTTTGCGAGCAGTATTCAATTTTCACTTTTTGGAGGCGACAAGTTCACATTTTTTAGAACAACCGCCAAAATGCTAGAAGTCCTTAAAAAAGGAAGCCGAGAAATGCTCACTTATCGCTTGAGAAATCGTAAAAATGGTTTGAGAACAATAAAATTATTGATACAAATGTTAACTGCTGTCAAAATTTCTTTTGCAATACGCGTAGAAAATTGACCTTTGCAAAGAGGCTGAATTAAACTTTTAAAGAGGCTGAATTCAGGGAAGGCAATTGCATGACTCACGGCAGATCCCGAAGTCACATGCACAGTTGCTTGAGGGTTATGATACGGATCCTTTGGATCCGTGGTTCCATTATAAACCTTTCTGTCAAAGACAGGCCACAATCGTTCGTAGGAATGTTCATGGGCCCAAATTGCCAAGTCCACACCATATTTGTACAACAATTTCTCCAGTCCGTACCTATAAAACAAATAAAATAAGTCTGCAACGCTGCAAGCTAACCAAATGACATTCAACATTTCATTGGTTCGATAATTATCATAACAAATTCACAAACGGGTCCTCAGTCGAAAAAATGAACCCTTGAAGCACATTGATCCCTTCTGCATTCAGTTTGGATAACTGAAAATTCACAAAATGAATTCAAAAAAGGTTCAGCAGTTGACTCACCAATGAAAAAAGGGCAAACCGACACGCGTCAACGTTTCATGATTTTTGCAGTCGTCGTGGTCCAAATTCGAACAATACATCGGCCTGTGTCCAAAAACGATGATCCAGGGATGATTTTCTCTGTCAGCCATCGCGGCTTTGAGTGTGGCGTCCAGCCAACGCCACTGCGCTACTATATCAACGATTCCGTAGTTGAAGACGAAGTAGTAAACTTCGGTCGACAGCGAGATAAACCTCGCTGGCCCAAGATTGAAGGTGTAGAACAAATCTTTCGGGTTTTTTGACGGCATTCTGAATCGGTTGCGATACTGGAAGAAATTACTGGAAGCAAAAACAGCAGAAAAATAGGGATAAGATCAATCTGTTCATGTATCGGGAGAACGAAATGTAGAACAAAAATATAAAACTTTTCCACAATACATCGGATCCGTAAGCCTCGAGTGAAAATAACTCACTCTTTATTCTCATGATTACCGGGGCATGTCATGTACGGAACTCTCGAAGCAATCGGTGCTATCATGTCCATGAACAAATCTCCCGTTCTTCCCGAATTCTGTGCAAAAAAACGGGATGCTAGTACAATAACAATATACAGAATCACGACACTGACGCTACCGAGTGATCCACGCGGAGCTAGCTCCACGAAAGAAAATATTTGCGAAAAATTAAAAAAAAAAATTCTCGATACAGTGTTCAGTCAACCCCATGCGGGTTGGTCTCAAAATTTTCAACTTTTTTTTAATTATTACTCAGACAGTCGCAATTTTTGAAGCCAGTTTGAAGAGAGGAGAAATATTTTTCTACGATATCAAGATTCATAGCCGACGCCAACAAAATGGGAGGATATTCACGATAATCGCAAGATAATAACAGTAGAATCGTTGGGTAAAACGAGAGAGAAATTAAAAGCTTAGAATTAGAAGAGAATCACAAACTGACTCTTCTCTTTCGTTTTTTCGAATAGCAGTGGATCAAGAACGTCAGAATTCGTCGAACAAAACCAAATACACCCTTCTAACATGATAAATGTTGTCTGCTGCAAAAATGATGTCAAGATTATTTTCCTTCTTTCACCCACCTCGTAAACAATATTTGTAAATAATACCGTATATTTCGGACTAAATTAATCAAGTTCTCATTTTTACGGGTTTAGTAATTAGGAAATCGCGCAGTCTAATGATCATGTACCTCATACATGTCGTATGCAAAATCCCCGACGTGCAAAACAGCATCATAAATTCCACGTTTCGTATCTTGCAATAAACGCGGGATACTCTGGGCATTGACTAAGCCCAGGTCACCGAAAACTGCCAATCTCGGACTCCAGTCGGTGGAATTTGAGGCAGCAGTAGGTTGACATTCAATCCATTCGGACCACACTAACTTTGACCCCACACGATATTCTTAAAGAAATAAAACTAACTTGAAATGACACGCCGCAATTCATTTAGCCACTGAATCAAAACACTTCGTAACCCTATGGAACAATTTTTCTCGTTACGTGAAAAAAGCCCGGATGAGAAAAATTCAAATCAGAACGCAACAATAAAATGATTATCAACGTAAATTGAAGACAAATTTGCGGAATTCCCTCCACGATATCACCAGGTGAACCCAAGGCAATCCTCATGCGGATTGGACTCTCCAAAACTCCACTCAGAGGGGAAATTTTTTTTGCCGAAGAGCAGCATTCACCGTACAAAAATGGAGGGGGAATCTCGGCCGCAAATTTGACTAACGCAGGGGACGGAATCGTAGTGGAGTAGGTATGAAATTGAATTCAGTACCATCGCTTCAAGAAGAGTCAATAATTTTTGTGAAGCTTAGAATTCCTAGGTTCGAAATCAGGATCTTTGAAAAACAGTCTTCTACTCACTATAGGCCTCCGCAGGATCCAAATCAGTCATATAGGCTTCATGGACATACTGCTGCAGCTTTGAGGAACTGTGCTCAACAAACGCATGAGATATAGCGACAGACTGGAATCTGCTTTGCGGATCCGAAATCTTCTCCCACTGAACCAAACCTTCGATTGAGCCGTTCGTATTCCACACAACCATCAGTTCATTCGGGTTTCCTAAAAGCAAAAATCAACGCACCGAACTTGAAAAAAAAAAAAACTTGGAAGAAATTTCACGGGAGTTCATAAAATTACGGCCCAAGGTCAGAAAACCACAATGAAACGCCTTCTACTCACTCGATAATGCCAGATGAATCTGATTGGGCTCGAACTGATCACCGAGCCCAAGCTTCATAAGAGAGAAAATAAGGATCAGTCCAACCGCACTTTTACACTTCCTGAGCGCCATGCTGTCACAAGCTTCGGTCACGTCACCCCATCAATTCTGACGAGAAATCGTTAATTCACACGAGCAGTCAAAATCACCCTTATCACGATCATTCGCACAGATACCCGAGTATTGCACATAAAATAGACAATCGTTCGACAGAATCGGTTTCTCTTTCCAAAAACGGTAAAAAATGGCAAACCGATTGCCTATAAATGATTGTATCACCACGGCAAAAATATGAAAATATTTTAAAATTTTCATTTCAGTTAGAAAAGGTAGCCACGCTTATAATAATGCGGGGCCAACTCCAACAACCAGTTGACGTCAACAACGGTCAAGTCCCGCATGAAAACTTCACTCGTGTGCAATACTTCCGTATACACAACACACTGGGCCATCTTGTCAATTCGTTTCGCTTTTTGATCGTAGAGGACAGAGGACGGATGAATTTTCAACTCCACTCCCCCACGAACGGTTCTGTACTGCCCGGAATGATGCAAAATAGCTGCATTTGCGAAGTATCCCGCTGCAACACAGCGCCGAACTCTGACTGCGTCGCCCTTTGCGGAAACCAGCGGGATTCGAAACCTTTTCAACAGTTTGATGAGTTGGGATTGAATCTCCAATGCTCGTGAAAGAGCTTTGAAATCCAGGAAGTTTTGCGCACACCAACGTGAGCGACGAGCTCGTATTTCCCCAGCTGCGTTCTTATCTGAAAACCAATTGATCGATAAATGCAGAAGTTACTTTCGGCTCTCGAAACTAGAATAAAACAAGAGAAAAGTTCGATTAGCATTATTTCACACCCCAATTTAACATATTACGTCATAACAAAAACATGAAACCGTACCCACATCAAAAGCATTCATCTGATTAATGCTTCTAAGTTCCGGAAAAAACATAACATGTATCCATCTATAGCACCTAAACTGAAATCTGATACGCAAATATAACAACCAACTCACCAGAATTACAGTTCACAGAATCACCAACTTTCACGAATGACAAAAATGCATTCAACGCTGTCAATGAGTCTCCTTCTGCAGCTTCAAATCCTCGTTTGGCCTGCCTAGCGACCAAACCCCTTTGACCTCCTCCACCTCCAACGAATATTGATTTAACCTAGAAACAAAAAAACATGTTTCTATTAAGATAATTACTGCAAGTATTTCTCGTTCGACGTTCTCCCCGAATCGGCGCTTTAATGCATGAATATCAACATTAAATACGCATTCTTGCGGTTCAATACAGCACTGTATCTTCTCAACAAACATAAAATTGGCTAAATCATGTACTTGGGGTCCACGCCATCGAGCAATTCCTCTCGTAAATTTGAATCTAAAGTCTGCTAGTGTGCATTGATGCGTCTGTCCTGCTTATCCTTTTCTCACGATTTACATTAAAATTGATCAGGTATCCATTAGTTCCTACCAGGAACTCAGTATGCGTCAATTTGAGCTAGCTTTGGTTTAAAAAGTGCACCAATACGGAGAACATCTACGTCCTCCGTAGGATAAAGAAAACGAAGAAATCCATTCAATTTTGAAAATATACGAACAGCAAGCTTGAATTAACGCATCCCAGTCTGGATCGGGGTACACCTGCGAGAATCAACCCGATGAGAGGAAAAGAAACTGAATACAATAATTAAATATCCGAGTCACATAACTATGCACACCAGCAGAGCTCACAGAGACAACTGTTGAAGTGAAATTTATCAAAACTATTCTGGGTAGTTATACTCCAATCCGCTGATAGTCGTGTCCAAAATGTACTAACCAGAGCGACAGCAGCAATTGCAGTCGCTTCCTCAGAGCACCCGAAGTCTCCTGATGACAACAGCATCTTCGCCAGTCGTGGATCTGGCACAGGGAATTCGGCCATGCAAGCACCTAATGGCTCGGTCAACTCCCCATTATCATCCAAGGCCTCAAGCGCATAAAGCAACTCCAGTGCTGCCGCCATGTTTGCAGCGGGAGGACGAGCAGGAAAAGGAAACCTGAGTACATCAGTGATTCCAAGGGCCTAGAGGGAATTAGAAGCACTTGATTAAATAAATTAGGGTTCTTCACGTAAGTTTGTGAACGGTTCTCATCAGGAAGGAATGTACAAATTTAAAATGGACTCGTGACGAAGAGCTGGCACCGGAACAGCAAGTTTAGAAGTTCAGCTCAGTTCAATCAGTAATACTAAATCTGAACTAACCGATTTCCAACATACATTCGGTACAGTACAGTACTTCAATGCATGTTATACAAGGATTCCGAAGCGAAATGGCCGACATACTGTACCTTCAATTGAAGTATCACAGGACTGAGATCAGCACGAAGGATTTCCGGCGGCAAAGTGGGTTCCAATTTATCAAATTCTTGCTCCGGAAACAGCCTATACACATTTCCTGGTTTCATCCGTCCGGCTCGTCCAGCACGTTGTATTGCTGATGATTTCGGAATAGAAACAATACCCAAAGAATCCGTCTGCGTATCCGCAGAAAAACATCTCACTTTGACAAAACCGCAATCCACCACTGCAATCAACGAACACATACGTCGGCGTACATTATCAAGTTCGTCCAGTCGGGCATTAACACACGAAAATACCGTGTACGATCCCTGGAATGGTAACCGACGTTTCCGCAATATTGGTGGCTAACACCACTTTCCTCGTGTTCGGTGGAGGTCGGAAAAATGCCTTCATTTGATCCTTCGCAGGAAGCGAGCCATACATTTTAACAATGCTCAATTCCATCTCTCCACTTCTTCGTCCATTTTCTCTCACATTTCGCTCCACTTCTTCATCCAGCAACCTTGCGGCATGGTCTACCTCATCCACACCTAAGAATTAAATGATGCGAAAAGAAAAATACAGGTTCAATTAATTAATTACCGCTCGCTAAAAAATCGAAAATCTGACGGGGCAATTCCTGGATCTTAGTTCTTCCACCCAGTCGGATCAACTCACCCGTCAAGAAAACTAGAATGTCTCCGGGAGTATTGAGTTTCCGATGAATGGTCAGAACAGTGTCAACTGAAGCTTTCACGTAGTCCGCCGCAGGTTCCTCTAGGTAATATGCACGAACAGGATAAGTTCTTCCTTCCACTGATAAAATGGCGGCAGTTTGCTTTGGCTCAGATGGTTTCGACAAGTCGAAGTATTTCCTAAGATCCTCAGCATCCATTGTGGCTGAAGAAATTATCAATCGTAGATCCGGACGTTTCCTAGATACCTGAAAAAGTGTATGTTTACGCATTTGCGTAGGTCGAACGTCATTGACCAGCACAGTGGGAACAACCCGACATTTTACAATGTTTCAGCAATTCATTATCTTTGAAAATTAAAAACTGATCATAATTAGACTAAATTATAATTGAAATTAATTCCCACTCCAGAAAAATACAGTGTCAAGTATGAAGTTTCGTGACGAGTAGATGGTTGATTGCATAAAGAACTTCTTGAAATAATTCAGATCCATCACTGTCGAGGAAAACAAAGCATTAAATGTGGAAGAGCTCATTCACGAAGTTGCTGTCTCTCTTGTTGCAATCCAAAAAATCCTATCTGAACACAGTCTTTCGAAGTAAAGTAGTATAAAACCGTTTGAACCAAACGAAGCCTTTCAAATAAAGCGTCACTTGATTTCAGCGGATGAATTCAGAACATATGAAAGAGTCAATTACGATATTTACCTTCCTCATGAGACCCATGAGAATATCCGTGAACAATGTTCTTTCATGCACCTCGTCAATCATCACTGCGCTGTATTGTTGAAGAAGCGGGTCAGCGAGCAGTTCGCGAACTAGTATCCCTTCCGTCATGAACTTAATTTTGGTTCGTCCAGGTGTCCAGGAGTCGTCGAACCTTATCGAGTAACCCACAACGTCACCAAGACGAGAGCCTGTCTCTTCAGCTACTCGTGCAGCGAGGGAAGTCGCAGCAACTCGCCTCGGTTGAGTCACTGCTATCATTTTCCCACGAGAGCAATGACCAGCCTCCAACAAATACTGCGAAGAGCGATTCGGATAGAATGAATTATTGATAGCCAAATCTCAAAATATGACACTGTTCAGTTGAACCTTGAATTCCCCAGCATACCTGCGGAACCTGGGTACTTTTTCCGGAGCCCGTTTCTCCACAAAGCACGACGACTTGATATTTTTCCAAGAGATAAAGCAATTCATCTCGATGCTTGTAAGCGGGCAAAGTTTTTCGTTGCTGCTTCAGCGGAAGATTCCTCGTGGGATTCCATGTGAAGCTGGTGTTAAATTCAGCGTCCACATCCGTTCGATCAGCTTCAAACCTTCGCACACCCTCATCGTCCGAAGGCGCAATGAAAGTACCACGAGACATGTCTTCAATTCACAGAAAATGACCATTCAAAGACCCAGACATTATTGATGTGAATAAAAAAAATGGCTACACGTTTGCCTTTCGAAATTTTTTTTTTGAATCGTCAGAAAAAGGAACGCACGATAACAGCAAACGAAAACTCTCGAGAATTGATCACGCTCATCCGTGCTCCACCTTAAATCTAAGCCAAATGATTGACCTCCTACTGCCGCAATTCCGCCAAAGAAATCAATCAACATCGTCTTCGACAATTGAAACCGACTGCTCCCGAGGTGGTGGTTCTTCAGCAACTCGAGCAACAGGGATGGCACTTCCGAATCCCGGCATCATCAACGGATTTAATCTCTGTAGAATTTCAAGCAGAAAAGAGAAATTCTCAATAAAATAATCGCGAACCATAAAAGGGAACTCTTCTGCAACAATTATTCGGCGTGGAATGCTGGAATCGGTCAATTTATTGAAAAACTCAAACTAAGAAGACAAAATTTATAAGCATACTTATCACTGAAAATGTATTCGAAATGGAAACAGACACCTTGATCAATCCCACCTTGACTAATTCGCAATGCCACTTTGATTCTTTCATAACACTGCTCAAAAAACTAACATAACACCAAAGATGGCCGTATAAGGGTCAAAAAGCCTGGGCACAACACCCGATTCATGCAATATAGTGGTTCCAAACTGCTACAAAAGTATTTTCCAACAGCATTCACAAAAGAAAACGCAAAAATCGGATCATGCTTCAAATTTTCATGTTTTGGTGAGGTTTCAACTCATGGAACTGAAGAGAATGAAGCATGATCTAGAAGCATCTGACTGACCTTCCAGTACTGTATATCACGATTGATTGCCATGTACTACAGTAAAATTACAATACTTCGCGAATGAAAGGATCGACCAAGAAAAATTCCCCAACTGTACAATTTCCTTAATAAACGACACGCTCACCTGACTGGCCATCGGCAAAATTGAGATGATTTTTTCCACCAATGCCGGAGGAAGCGTTTCGCTGAACGACCGCAACATCTCTCGCGGCGATCCGCTAACTAACAAAGCGTTAACGAAATATTCGGCGGACATTTCGACGTCATCGTCATTCAGTGCTTCTTCGCCAGCCTGGAGTTGTTCAAGGAAATACCTATGCACTTCATCTTGATTTGTGAATTGTGGGATCGGCATTCTCGGTCCGCGAGACCCATTCTGCATCCTCTCCTTCTTCCTCTCTGGGAATTAAAACCAGGAATACTGTTTAGTACTGTATTATTCTCAGCATGTATTTTAGTAAAAATACTCACTTTCACGCAGTCTCTGCTTGAACGCGGGGTCAGACCGACGCTTGCGATCGAAATAAACACAGTAACTTAAGAATAACGTCCCACAAACGCCGGCAGCGAGAAGAGTGGATTTAGATTGAAGGAATTCCACGACAGACATCCCGAAATTTCGAAACTGTCTTCTGCGTAGAAACAAATCCTATGCAGCTCATGAAAATTTCCAAATAACATGGAAATCAGGGAAATCTACGATAGGTGATGAACTTGGAAAAAAAAGGAAGACGAAAAAGTACCAACTAGAGTACAGCAATTAGATCATGAACGATTCTTCATGCATGTCGCAAATGTCAAGAAGCCAGTATGTCCAGCACATGACGTAACTGGCATGGAGAAAAATGTCGCTTCACCCCCATCACGCGGATCTGACCCGTCCGTCTTCATGCGCTTCGGAAGAGGCTCTTCTGTACGATTCTTTGCTGTGCATAAGCTGGGGGTCGTGAGCGTGATCGTTTTGACGACTGACTCTCTGACCAAACATTCGATCGTTTTCAATTGTTCATATCCATTTGATCTCAATTCGACACACATTTTCTGAACCTGCTCAACACACGGAGAAAATGATGCGATTCGGCCGCAGTTTTTCAGCACCTTTGTGGCTGCTGTCAAGGCAAGCCAAGGATGAGGCAGATCAAGGAAAACGGCGTCAACCTTTCCGGTAAGTTCTACTCCAAAACCGTCCTGACAGACATCGCGATGCTTGGCAACAACAAATTCACCATATCCAAGGGAGGTGAATTCTTCGACGGCACACTCTACACGCTGATCGTGAAAATCAAACGTATGAAGCTTTCCACACGGCATTATCGTTCGTAATATTGAACAGCTCAGAGAACCACTGCCGGTTCCGGCTTCACATACGATCTTCCCTGGTTTCAGCTCCAGATTGGCAATAATCAAACTAATATCCGTGGAATAAAGAATCTGCGTTCTGTGTGGCAATGCGAGCGTCCAAAGCTCCGGTGAGGGAAACATAAGATACACAAAACCCTTCTTCAACTCAATTCTTGCTCCATAAGGTTTACCTATAACTTCCGAGACGTTCAAGGGACCGTAAATGGTCTGATAGATGTTGGGCACTTTCTTTCCATCCTTTGTATCCACGGTCTTCGTTACGCGAAGAACCCGCAACGTTTTGAAATCGACGTAGAGAATCACAACACTATTTTCCTCTATACACCGTTGGCCGTGCATTCTGAAAACAAAGAAACTGAAATAAGTTTTCCCTTCCACGAACTCCAACTCCCGCATATCGACGAGAATACTCGGCCCTTAAATCAACCTCAGAAATATTACATTTAATAATCACAAACGCTCGCATTGCCCCAAGTTCTTGAACCGCATAGGCTGACGAAGTACCATAACCCGAATCTTCGCACTTCACGGCATCAAATGAATCTTCTGTTTGCCTGAGTTGCAAGACGTAACCCCTACAAAATCCGCGTATTCGGCGACATAACTGTACGGCTTTCTGGACGTTTCCATGATGTTTTTGTAGGAATCTTTGCAGTTGCATCTGCTCTTTCGCAGTAGGCGATGCCTCACCGATGTTGTTACGCTACCGTACCGGTGATTTCGTGAGAAGGGTGCTGAAGTGCGAGGGCACGTGAATTGTGAGGAAAGGTCCACGGCATTGTCGGAGTCCGCTGAACTACGCGTGTAGTGCTTTGGCTGCGTGACACTCAACTGACGTCTGTGCATGATAAGGGCTGGGGTGGGAATAGGTCAGGTTAGGAGGCGAATGTGTTCAGAATTTTCGATTTCAGGATGCCTGTTACGCGATCACAGTTCAAGCTGAAGCGGCGATCTCCGTCGGGCGATGATCCTGTTTGTGAATTTAATTCTTCTAACGAAGATCAGGAAGAAATCGAGCTTGAATCCGAGCTAGAGAAGGCCCTCCAGCAAGACGAAGGATCGGAGCAGGAATACTCAGACGAATCGTGTGAGTCTGAATCAAATGTTAGCGATGAAGCAATGGAATCTGAAGATGAAGATAGTGTCATCGACGAAATGGACAACGAGGAAGATGGGAATGCTAGTGGTATCAGCAATTCAAAGTTTGCCCTCCTCGTGAAGAAGCTCGAAGAGTGTTTGACGTCGGACGAAGCGAATGAAAAGGTTGAAGCCCCATTTACAATTTTAATTTTTAATTCTCCAATGCGATGATCCGCTCCTCGTGCTTACAGGGAGTCGTGAGTTTACTAGCAGAACTGGACAACAGAATTTCTTCGTATCTTCAAGTTGCGCTCGTTCCCAGAACCGATGGTATTTCTGATTACGTGGTTTTCGCCGTACCTTCCCAAACGCAAATACATTGAACTGTGGTTGTGTACAGGTTCGGAGGAAGATGCCGTTGAGCTGCTGCGTCAATTCGAACAGAGTATCGAAATTCTCACGAAAATGGTTCACCAGAAACCTTCCGACTCAGCGTCAGTGGAGAAAGCTGCCGAAGTTTTGAATAATTTTGCGGCGATAGAAAAGGGAACGTGTGCGCTGCAGGCGAGTGTCAATACTGTAAAATGTATCAATGAATGTTGAAGTTTTACTCTGACGTTAAACCCTTGATTTGCAGGCATGTCTGAGTCTCTATCTATCGGATGAAGAAAAGCTCATCAATTTAATTCAAAACTTCGGAAGCACTATGAAAACGGCCCCTGGTAGCAAATGTACGTTCATCACGCGAGAGATCATACAAAGTCTTGATGCCAAGGCGAAGGAAGGCCATCATATCACCGATATTTTTGTTACGAACCTGATGACTTTGTTGGAATCCCTACCGCAACCCGAGTTCAACGACAAAAAAAGAAAAAGAGGTACTGTATTTTTGCAAAGCTACTTACATTTGAGGCAATTTTTCTTCATTGAAGAGAAGTAGTGCATATATTTATTTTTCCTAAAATGAGGATTCATTACGTGTTAACGAAAACATATTAATTTCGATCATGTTTATGATTCAGGTTCTTACGAACATGGACTCGACCGACTGTGGACTGCATTAATATGCGGTGTGGACTTGAAATCCTCCTCCAGTTCTTCGACCATACCCTTGAATACTTACAATTCCAGAAGACTTCTTATTTGGTTACCCACCAAAGTATTCCCGTGCTTGCACAATGCACAGATTGCCGCAGATTTTTTGCAGTCCTATTTTCATCAAGGAGGAATTTATTCATTTTTGGCATTGGAAGGGATCTTTATTTTGATGACCAAATATCACTTGTGAGTTGAGCAATCACTTTTTCAAAATTTTCGTGTAATTTCTATGTATTTTGTGTTTCAGGGAAGTTCCGAAGTTTTACCAAAAACTGTACGGGTTATTGAACGCAAGTTTGTTCTCTAGCAAGTATAGGAATGTTTATTTCAAAATGCTCGACCGATTTCTGTCTTCAGCGTAAGGGACTAACTATTTTATCATTAGAGCGAAGTTTCTAGCTCTGTGTATGAGAATTGTATGTCAATTTTGATTTTGACAGATACTTGCCGGATTACCTCGTAAGATCGTTCGTCAAGAAATTCTCCCGCCTTGCCCTGGGAGCTCCATGCGATGCGCTTTTCGGACTGCTACCGATTATCCTCAATCTCATCATTCGATTTCCTTCGTTGAAATCGTTGGTTGATGCAGAGAATCAAACTGGTTAGTTGAATGACTATTCCTATTCGTGAAGTAAGTTAAAGTATTAATTTCCCAGCAAACTTTTTAGATTCTGCAGATGATCCATTCGATGCGAATGAACCTGATCCCATGAAAAGCAATGCGAACAACTCTTGTCTATGGGAGGTGAAAACTTTGACGCAGCACGCAGTTCCGATTGTTGCAGAACTCGCACTTGCGAGTTTGCGAAGACCGCTTCCGAAGCAAGAGTCAGATCTTTCGAGGAGAATAAATACGACGTCGGAATTCGTGAGTTTTTTCTATTATTATTTTTTAATTCAATAGAAAATTATTTTCCACTGAAGAACATGGACGAGTAGGAAGAGTTTGTAGCTTTGCACCTTGAAAAAATAATTTTATTTGTTTCGAAGGTCTTCAAGTCCGTCACAACGAAAGTTGTACCTCCTGATGTGGCACTATCTATATCTTGTCAAGCAGACTTCTTCAAAATTGGCTTTGATTGATGCCGTTCTGTCTGATGGAAGGAAATATGAACTTTCTGCCAAGCGGTAAACGTGATATTTTCATTTTTTTCAATTTTTGAGAGTGATTCAACCTTAACTCATTTATTTTTCAATCTTTTCGTTTCTTGTAGGTGTTCTCAATTCACAGTACTGTATGAAGATTTGGAATTCGCAAGTGTCTACGTGTAGTAATAGCCTTATCTGGCAGCTGTGTTTTCTTTTCCATTGCTCCGATTTCTTTTCTCCTCCTATCTTTGTTAGCACAGTTCGTGAATAACGTATACTGTACAGTACAAGAAATTACATTTCAAAATAACATTCAATTGCTCATGGATCAGTCTTCTTCTTGTGGGTAATTGACCATGATGAATATGTTTGAGGAAGTGTTCGACGATTGCAATTTTGTATATCAGAAACTTTATGACTTAGTCAGTGAAGGCCTATTTTTTGTTAATCTTGACTCAAATTCCAGGAAGATGTTTGGTTTTTACGGTCTGCACTACTTAGAAAAAAAGGAAACTGTTGTCCAACTCAATATTGCAGCTAATCCCTTCTGAGCCTGTCCCATCAAAAGTTTTCTTCAAAAACCCAGGTACTTGCCATTTGGATGAATCAGATCAGCTACTTTTCTTTAGGGCTTAGGATGATAAAATTAAATCCATACCATTTTGAAATAAATTCAACCCTCGTGAGACGAGCGAAAAATGTAATGATGAAGTCTGCTTGCAAAACTTAGCAAAGGATGTTCGGCGTGTATTTTTGTATGAACACTAAATATTAACTTCACTTGCAGGACTTGCAGCAATCATTTTTCGATTCATGTACATGTAAGAGGTTGAGCATTACATCGTTGCAGAGCTGCCCTATTGACCCAATGTCTAAAGAACAATTAAGTGTTTTTTGTTCGTGAAATTTTAAATTCAGTGAATTAAGATACATGGCATTTGGTACAACGGCAGCAATGACAGACAATCGGAGTATTTATCAAACACGTTGACAGTTTGACCTAGGGAAAATTTTACTTCTACAGCTTTGAAGAAGACCTTTCAAATCGAAAATATTATCAGGATTTACTGATGCATATCCATCCTGCGTTAATTTCTCACAGGCAAAGATTCTCCACTGTTCTAAAATAAAGAAAGTTACATTTATCTTTGAAGGAAATTTCCTGAAAGCATCAGATCGGGAACTAGCCGATTTTTGAAAAGCAACCTGTGGCTGACGAAAATTACTGAACGTGTTTCCGATTCGAATTATTGTACTAGACTGTAAACGTTGTTTTGGACACCACTGCAATGCTTGCCATCGTTACACTTATCTTGTGGAAATTCTGCTGTGCGTATATTGAAAAGGATTCATGAAACAGTATTACGGTACTGTAATCAAATCAAACATTTTGATCTGTGAAGAGCCAGTAGTGTGTGTAAGTGTGGAAAATAATGATCATTTTACAATGAAGTCTGGATCCCCAAGGCACACGCCAAATCTCAAGTTCATGTCGGTGTTTTTCCAAGATCACAGCACGCTTTACGTATGTAAAATTATACTGTGAAGTGCTGTCTTGATCGTGCATGCGTACATACAGTACGAAACCCCCTCCCCCCCCCTTCTCTCCAAATTACCTTATTTTCCAGGTCTGTGAGCAAAAGTTGCATATTTCGGCGGAAAGAAGTGCCTGTAGTGCCAATTAATCGCATCGCGACGCGGAAAACGCTGAATGCGTGATTCATCTTCACCGGGTTCGCGATTGAGCCCACGTAGATAGCCTTGAAATTCCTCTTTCGCGAGGCGCAGTGGTCCTTTGCTTGAAGAAAATAATTAAGGTTTCCTATCCTCCGTTTGTCCACAAGTAACGGTTTCATTCTTCCCGGGGTTCGTGTCTCGACCGGGTCTCGCGATTCCTGATGGAGATCGCGCGCAGTAAGCTTTCGCCTTCCGATGTGGATTCCTGTGAATTTCTTGCTGACTGCACTTCACCACCCATTCTGGATGGGTTCTTCGTGGAAAGCTTCTTTATACGGTGAAATCTCCTTACAAAAAATACGGTACCTTTACAACAAATTTTTCAATGTACCAAACTTCTTCTCGAGTCCCAGCAGAAAGCGCGCAGTGTACATGTTTCTCCTGGCATACATTTCCTGACTAACTAGACGAGACTAAGGCAGAACAGTCTGAAAGTTCTGATCACAAATGTAGCTGAGTGGGTCTTGTAACATGGCTGGACGCTGCAATAATTGACCAACACGCTTACAAGTGGTTCCAAACATCATGAATCCAATTTTGTCAATAGATCACTCAGTTTTTCAAAGCATAATATTAAATCTGAGATTGTCAGAAAAACAAGATCTTATTGATTATATGCCGGTTTGATGTGAAATGGTTTTGAAGCATTAATTATGAAAATCTCAAGTAAATAAATTATTCAGCTTAACAAAATTGTTCATGTCTCCAAAAGTTTGTTGTAACGAGATGTTACTGTATTCATTGAAGCTTGGGTTCGTTTCCAGAGCAGTTTTTTGTGAGGGATGTGTGGTTCATCATCTCATGATAACTTACTTTATGCCATTGTGTATTGTCTTCCGCAATTTTTTCGGGAGAAAAATTAACCCGTGTGCGATCGTTTTACGAGGTCAAAAAGGTTGCGTCTGATATTGGATGAGTTAAGTATTACTGTAGATCGAAACAAAACACACAATAAATAATCTTGTGTTCAATTCATGTGTGTTGTTCAACTTGTGCATATAGTATTTGATGTGTTTTTTTTTAAAAACTGATCATGGATTTAATTGCTTCCTTTAAGTTGATTCCTGATTTGAAAAAGTGGTCGTTGTTTACCCGGAATGTAGACAACGGATCGGTTTTTGAACATTCATCCCGTGAAATGTTCACACTATCGGTAAGAGAAAAAAACAAACTTGAAATTCAAGCCAATTCAGTACTACCTTCTACCAAAATGATCCCCTCTTAATTCCATTTCTGTGAAATGAAAACCTCGCGCAATCCGGAAATACGAGGACGAACACGAAGTCGATCTAATGAACTAATTCGTCTTGATTGTTGCGTTAAATTTTCGCTTAGTTTTCCAATCTCTCTAGCAATAAGTGGCGCAAGGAAACGCAGTATCCTTGATTCCACGAATGATGACACGTTGACTGATTAATCTAACGCAGCGAAGCTAGAGTTTCATGGATGAAATCCAACCCCGAGCTTGTTGGGTGGCTTCCGAAAGTGTATCCTTATGCTGGTCGTGATTAATCAAGTGTGATGGCTGTAGTATTCCATTACCAATTTAGCATGATCTTTTCAGCACGCTAGTAAGCCTGTCACAGGATACAGAAGAAAGATCTTTGACCTGTAATTTGAAGGGAATCCCCCTCGGTGATTCAGCTTATCTCGCGAATGACGCATGAGTCACCCGAATATTTAAGGCGGGGCTCTTACCGCAGTGTTTCTTCACTCCCAAGTCAGGCGTAGCAGTTCTTGGTTGCGTGTGCGCGGAAGATGATTTTGTTGAAATTTCGTGATTGCAAACGTGTTTATCCCAAATTTCACGAAATGTTCGTGTTTAGGAAGAATCACCATGAAAATCTCGGCCAACTTTTGATCAAATGTCACTTGCGAGAATATGAGTTCTATTGAAGTTCTCGAAGTTTATTACAGAATTTGAGTGATATACTGTACTTTGTGTTCTTTGAAAAATTTTCGCACCACTTGAGAAATTCTGGAGATTACCCTTTTTCCGATGGAAACATGTCACCGAAAGTTGATAATTTTAATTTGAACCATCGAAAAAATTCCAGAAGAAATTACTGTTTCTTGACCGCGTTGAAGCGCGTAAATCCCATTTTTTTGAGTAAATGAGGCGTGAAATAAATGAGTAAACATGAGTCACCGAAAGTTGATAATTTTAATTCGAACCATCGAAAAAATTCCAGAAGAAATTACTGTATCTTGACCGCGTTGAAGCACGTAAATCCGATTTTTTGAGTAAATGAGGCGGTTGTGCTGATAATGAGCTAGAGTGTTCATTTTTCGGTGAGAGATGGAATCAAGACGTTTTTTTTGTTTTAGTGAATGAAGTACGCGTAATTGAATTTGTAATTGTAAGGAATTTCTTCCGCTTAACGAAGAGCGTCGCACTGAGTGAATGCGTTTTCCGTCGAGACGCATCTGTGTGGTTCCTTTCCTATGGTATGTGTGCAAGTTGGGACTTGATATTCAGAGGAGCCTGTTGATAAACGGCTTTGGAGTGCGTTAGCTCAGCGCGCAGTCAGCATCACAAGATGCAGATCTTCGCTGAAATACAGTACTGTACTGTACTGTATCAATTTACCGTAAGAAACAGCGTGGTGATTTTTCTTGTACCCCGAACACCGAAAGAAGTTCGCTGGCGAATCTAGGAACTTGCATTACCATAATTTGCTTCACATTAGTAATATAAAATACAGTTGTCGCAATGGATCTATCAAAAAGTGTACCGAATTGTGAATGGCAATATTTTCACAGGCGGTAGGCATTGCAATGATAAATTGTGCATGAAAAATTGCCTAAATTTTATTCCGTGTGCAACGAACATGGGAAAAAATTATCAGAATAACTTCGAAAACTTTTTTTTACAGATAAAGTAAAATATTTCCCCATGCCTTCACACATCTGCACTTGACGTCATTGTCTGTTTTTATTTCAGGCCGAGATATCCTCAGTGATGAAACAGTGTTCCATGAGTTAATGAGATAATGTTTTGAAATTCGGAATACAGGTGGACGCTGTCCACAACGAAATTTATAGGACCATAAAAAATCTTCGTAGAGAAACCCCTGTAGCAGAGGGAGAGAACCCAATGGAATCACACAAAAAAAAACCGTCCTACCGAGAAAATTGTTGTGGAGTTCGCCTGTGTTATTTCTTGAACAAGCATTTACCATGTGTGAATCGGGTTCGTCATTGATTCTGAGACCCACGCTCATGTATTCGTGAGTCAAAAACTCAGAATTAGAAGAATGTCATCTTGTGGATGAGTAAATTTGGTATATTTTGAAATATGCTTGTTGATATACATTTTCCGATTTCAGAGGTATTTTAGTGTTTCGTGCTCGTATTTTTCGTTCATGCTAAAGTGCGCTGCATTGTCAAAGCTGTTCAAGTAGTAACTTCGAAGCGTGCTTAACCGAGAAATGGCACGAGAAGGGCCGTTTTCCAGTGTTGCGCAGGTCCTGTGCATAGTGATTCTAAGTGTATTACTTTTCGAGGTCAGCGGACTCTCGAAAACTGGGAGGGGACTCCTACCGAGGAGTCCGAGTAGATCATTCAACCGTAAATCCCTGGATGACTTACTCAAGGCAGAATTGGATGATCTGGATCGGAAGCTGGAACGGGACTATGACTTCTCGTGAGAATTATTATTTTTATATTTGAAGAATCCGCAGAAAAAAATCACGATTTCTTGCGTTCAAAAATATTTTCAGCATAATTTTGTATTTTTTTTTATGTGAATGTTGTTTGGATCCTGTTAATGCTTCGAAATATGTAAAAAGCAAGATGAGCTGAATTGCACTTTCATGGTATGCATTTGCTGAATTACTGTCGTGGGACGAAATTGTCAGGGCAAATGGTGGAGTAAAATATCTTCATTCAGAGCAATATTTGTAGTGAATGATATTGAATTAATTCGCAATTAGTACACGTATCAAACGTGAAACTCAGCCTCTGGTTTACCCTCTTCATTCTCTTATCTAGTCGGAGAGATTCCGCCAACGAGAAGGCCTCTAGGAAAAGAACAGGTTTTGATGAACGTGAGGCTCTAGATCCGCGGTACGCACCTGAAACTGTATCCCGTTTGGAAGAGGAGATTGAGTTTGCTAGGGCTAAGGAAGATCTCCTCGAAAAGAAGCTTGTCGAACTGGAAAATCGTTTAGAAGAGGAATCATTGAGCAAAGCGCTTTTGCTCGCGAGAGTTCCGCTTATGTTTGAAGGTCAGCGAAGTGGTTCGACGCTGATGGAACTGGTCAGTGATGAGAAGCCTCTCATGTCGAAGTCAGATCGAGAAGGTGAGTTAGAATCTGTCCCGAAGCAGTTCTGCGAAATGTCCTTTAATTTATTGCGCGAGGCTTGGCTCAACAGTTTTGTGAATTTTTCCACATCGTCAATACGGAAATAATTTTTCGAAATAAAATTCTATTCCTTCCACTTCCTCTGTTCCGATTTCTGCTGATCTAGTTTGACAGCAAATTGAGGAAAAATTGCAAGGAGAGCAAAGATTTACTTATCGAACTGGCGTTCTTCACAAATCTGCTGCCAATTAGATGTATTATCAATACCTCTATGCGAACCATGGTAATGAATGAAGTGGAAAATGGTGTTTTCCTATCGCGGTTGCACAGTGTGTTGTTAACCTAGATACTCTATACTTGTTGCAGGTTCTCTATATACGGAAATTACCCATTTTATTTCCTTCCAGGAACAAGTGGTGATTT